TGAGTATTCACGTAAATATTGAGCATGTTTTAGAACACGTGTAGCATATTTCAGGCAGCAGCATATGACTTGGCATCCAGTTGGCATGAAACAACATATTAACGTGACTTCAGAGATTACTCCTGTGATGGTAATTGCTATGTGCTGTAAGTGGTTTGAGCTTTAAATATGGTTAACATGCGTGCTCTACGGGCATATTCAGAAGAGTCACAAAGTGTTATTTGTTTTTTGAAAAATCACACTAATGGGTGTCATGAAGGAAAAAAAGGTGGGCAAAGTAAATAAAAATCTCTGTTTTTCTTTTGTTATTTTCTTAGCATGTTTACCGATCTGAGAGAAATCCTCCAGGCATTAGGGTTGAAGTTCTGTGCTCCCTCATTTTCAATCACACTCAAATGTATTGATCTGCTAATGACCACATTAGCAATACTCACATGTAACAGTAATTCAGGTGACAGGATCTTATCTAAGAAACACAATGGAAAACTTATTAGGAACTAGATTTAAAATCAGGGAGATCATCTGGAGAACTGAGGGTGCACCCTCTCAGTCCATGCGTGCTGCTCAGGAGTGGGTTGGCATTTTCCCTCCTCTTCCTCTTCTCCACCTTCCTGCTGTCCTAAGCCATACGTTCCCACTGCTGGGCTTGAGTTATCACGACTGCTTGTATGGCCACACAGTCAGCCAGAACAGGGCTGCTCTTCAGTTGACATCACCGAATCCTAACAAAAATACAAAGATTGGTTCTTGGCCAGCTCAGTTCCCGATGAAGCACTGTAACTATCATTATTACTCTCAGTTCAGTGCGTTTTGCTACTGAAACTTTTCCAGAGTTAAGGTAAGAGAGGGAAAGCATGAGGATGAGTCATTCTAGATGATCATCTGGGCAGGCTTGGTTCCTGCATTGTAATCCAGTACTGTAGAATACACAAGAAGCCCTGCAAATAAAAGCCCTAGTATTTTCCTACGGACTGGCGCATCAGAGTTTGATTCTTTGGTGCCTAGTAAAATCTGAGGTCTGAACAAAGCTTGTCCTTGTGGTATTTCTGACATCACTCTCCTGTGTTCATTCTTTGATGTTGTATGGAGGTGAGCTCATGACACATTCTTCCACGTAGCAGGGCACTGTTTGTTAAGGTCTTGCTCCTCTTCTCTGTCACCCTTTTCATTAAACTGGAAGAACTTCTTATTCTGGAGACCCCTATTGCTTTGTCAGATTTGGTTGAAATTGGTTGATGTGTTCAATGTTATTCATCAACGAAGGACAGATGGAGGGATGCATGAACACAGACACTTCATCTTATAAGCCTTCTTTTCACAAAAGGCCAGGCTCAAAGGCAGCCTTTGGAAGAGGGACCCGAATCCGGGGGTGCTCCCTCCTCCTAGTTCAATATCCTGACCACTCAATCACTCTTGTTTCTGCTCAGTGAATACTGAAGCCCTCCATGCAGAACAGCACAGCCTTTGCATGAGGGAAGAAGAATGCCACCTTCTTCCCCCTCAACCATCTGTCAGTGCCATCGGTGAACCTGGCTGGAGCTGATGTGGGTGTGAGTCTCCTCAGATACTGGTGAGAAGGGGGACCCATCTCCTACCCTTGAAGAAAGGTTTCAATCAAAAGCTTTTTAAAAGAAGCAGCACTACCCCTACATTTGTATGGTATTAGATCTGCTAGGAGGCATTCATGATTCCACAGTCACTTTAAAACAGCCACTGGTTTCCTATGCCTGCCTTCTTTCTTTTTCTGGCCCGAGAGCCTGGAACAGAGCTATGTTAAAGCTAGCCTTTATGCTTTTTGCCAGATTCCTTTTAGTTCAGATCAGTTCCCCAGTTCAGTTCAAACATTTGTGCCAGCTCAAGGGACAACGACATAGAAGCGAGTACTTTCTTGGCTGGAGGTGACAAAGACAGGACTACAGCTTTTGACCCCAGTGTGGGGTTACATCCTGACTTTAAGTGACCATGAAATTGTGGCTTGACTTAAAGCCCTTAGAGGAAATACAAGAACACATAGATTATGGATCTCGATTAGGTTCAGAGGCTGCGGTGCTAATTAAGCCACAACTGAAACGCTGACTAGGCAAGGGCAGTGGAAGAGCTTCAGGAAGATCTTCAGGATGCCTCTGGGGCTTAGGCGCTGTCTTTAGATTTTGTTGTCTAAACTGTCTTCTGGAGCTGTCCTACTGAATGGAGAAACTTACTGTAGTCACTAAACATAACTGTCTTCAGATTTAGAGGAAATTCCAATATAATAAGTTACTCTTCAACTTTTAAGACTTCTGAACTATAGGCTTTCTTTTTTCTTCAGCTTACCCTTCTTCCACCTTTAAGAAACAAGAATCTCAGGTCAATTAAAACCAATGTTAAAAATGATGAGTACAACTAAATACCTATTTTTACCTAAGGGTTAAGCCAGTTGCCTAATTCCAACTCTGTGGGCTTCTGCTGCAGAGCAAAAGTTCCCTTCTGTTGTGCTGCCCCTGGGAAAAATAACAGCATCCTCGGTCTGACCTGTCTGGAATTTCTCAAGTCCATCTCATGAAATCCAACTGACTCGACAAGAGTAATCCCCAGCTTGTACCCACAGTTCTGGTTCAGTTGTGCTAATCTCTGTGTCCTGGATTTCAGACACTGTAAGGCTGGCTTGTTTCTTCAGGTGAATTAGTTTCTTAGATCTCAAGCAAAACAAACACATTTTTCAACCACAGGCACACATGGAATATTGCCTTGGGTACAGCAACAGTTAACTAACGAACTAAATTTCTTTGAAAAAAGGATCTGAAAAGGAAGGCTTAAGGCAGCTGTAGTTCATCACTGTATCAAGCCACATTAGCTCGGGGCTCATGTTTGCAGTATTATTTAAATGACTGTTTCGACCTGAAGACTTGCTTCAGTGCCAGTATTTAGAGTGAATATCCAGCAAACAGCTCTTAATAATGTGTTTTCTTCAAACATCTGCTAAAAAGTCTATGTTACAATAAGAACAGTAAGATCTCAGCAACAATTTATTGACAAATTGAGGCTTTTAAGTGACAACAGTTAGTTGAGAGGATCTGATGTATTTCTGCCGTAGTAACACATTGCTTGCTAATTTCAGTTTCCAAGTTTTATCTGAAATACTGGGAATTGAGTGTTATGAAAAATGCTACTGGTACAAACCTGATTTTCAGATGTCATAGGAACCAGAACCTTAAAATTAACAGGTATTGCAGGTGCTACACATGTAAAAATTGAAACCTGCTTCTTTACTGATGTGGCAGCAGCTTTTATGCCACAGACAAAACATCCTTCATGTGTATAATGAAATGCCAGCTTTACACTGGGATAATGGCCACAGCTGGATCTTAAACTGGAGAGCAATGCAAAGTGCAGACTGATGACTAAACATTGCTTGGACTGAATATAATTTTGCTGACCTTCTGTGGCAGAGCCTTCCATCAAATCTCTTCTCCCAGACAGGAAGCCATTTAATATTTCACCCACTGGTGCATTTTTTTTTCTGTGAATTGTATTTATTATTTATTTGTGGTCTTCCTGCCTTGCCTTCTGAAAGCTATTCCTAACCACTGGGTCCTTTACAGCTTGCTGTGGTGGTTGAGGTATTATATGAGCTTTAAAACCATCATTTATCAGTCTGCTCGGGCTCCATTTCTTTTGATTGTGACTTTCTTCTGTAGAAATTGATCACTTAATGGAAATGCCCCTTTAATAACTTTACTGTTATTAAATAAACAATCATAACAATTATCAGCATCCACACCATTTCCATGCTAGAACAATTCCTTAAAACATGCTTAAAAATGCAAACATATAAATGAGGAAATCACAGAGAGGGAAGGAAAAATGATGAATCGCCATGGTCTTATGAGGCGGTCTGTATTTAACGCAAAATACTTCAAACAACTGATAATTGAGAGTAACTTCCATACCAAACCCTATCTCTTCCACTGTCTGTACCTGAGCTGTGCCTTTAGACAGCAATTTCTGCCACCAGCAGTTTGTGCTGACTTCCCCCCAAAAGACACAAGGATGCTTGGCAACTAAGGTTTAAATATAGCACAAGTTCATCCAACCAGGAAAACTGAAAGCCTAGCGAAGTCAATGGAGTGACTTGCTTCATAGCCTTTAGCGGTCTTTGGAGCAGGCACAAATGGACTGTATTGATTTTAGCCAGATCAATGTTTCTCAAGCTTTTTCTAAAGACTGAACACCTTTTGGCTCACTTGCCTTCATCTGACCCCTGAGCGGGCAGTAACCCAGTGTGGGTAAGTCAGGGACCTGGCTGCAAGCACTGTCTACAAGTGATAACCCCCCATGGAAGAAATAAGTTGCTGCTTAGCACTGCTGCTGCCGAACACTGTGCAACCTCCCTACCCCCTTGAATTTTGTAACCGCCTTGAGAAAGCAGCTCACCACTGAGAAACACCAGTTTGGATGGGAGACTCCTAGAGAGAAGGTTGATCACGCACTGCCCATCCTTTCTCTCTTCCATTCCCTCCCACACCTGAGGCACCAGCTTTCATTAAAAACAGGACCTCAAGCGCTCTGGCTCCTGGCAGTGCTTCCCTAGGCAACACGGCATCTCAATAATGTGATCGCAGGCAGGAAGGAAAGTGCCCCATGCAGTAGCAAAGGTGGAAAGTGATCCGTTAAGGTGGAAAAACCTTTGATCTATTAAAAAGTGACCGAGTCCATCATTAAGAAATCCTGGGCTACATTAATAGCCTAGTGCAGTTGCCCCATTCTCACTTCCTAGGCTGAAAATCTTCCTGGCGTACAACTGCCTTTTTGATAGCTTTTTTTTTTCTTTTTTTTAACTTCAGTAAGAAAACAAAAGGATCTTGTTACTTAAGTAGTCAGTGCACACACTTATTAGTTTGTTGTAAGTGACAGCTGCAGGACTCCATTAGTAGAAGCAAACGTGAGAAACTACACAGACAGGGGGCTGACTTCCATGGTAGCAGTAAAACCTGCAGAACATACCCCCTGAGCCACCACCATCAGCCCTGACCCCCGCCCAGGGAGGCAGAGCTGCTGGCTGAAGATTTCTTCAGTTCTATTTTCATAGACTGAGTCTCGGCACGAGGCTCGAATTTTGTCACATTTCCTGCTCCTGGGGCTGCCACTACTGGCTTTCCTGCTTTCATACCTTTTGACACAGGAATGCGGGTGGGTGTAGGTCTCGGGGATGACCCATCCTGTCCTGTCTGCAAAAGAGAGAGAAGACAGAAAGTAGTTGCATGAACAGAGGACTTTTTCTTCTCATATACGTTCATCTTATACTTTTCAATGGTTCTTCATTTACCTCTCAAGCAACATCCTAAATTTCGCCTATTAGCAAATTAACGCTCACATTTGGAACCTGGCCATAGCATATAACACTGGAGTACACCCAAGGGTACAAAATCAGGATCAAACGAGTTTCCCAGAGCTGAGGTCTGGTGTTTTGGATCAAGATGTCATGAGGACGGGAATTCCCACAAAACTCCGATTCCACAGCACAACACAGCGCAGGACAACCTTATAGGCTACCAACCCCCTGGCTTAGCTGTCAAACAGGTACAATATTAGCATCTTGCACAGCGACTCGCACTCAAAACAGTATAGCCATGTGGGGGATGTGGGAGAGGGCTCATCCCCCTCCAATCCCTAGCCACAATGTGATGAATGCCAGTGAGGGTGAAGCAGGCAGCCCAGATTTCCAAGGATACCTCAAGGCAGTGTGGACATGGTCATTTTACTACCTCTGCCAACCTGCCACACACACTTACCCTCACGTCTGAGGACTTCAGAATAAAAAAAAAACACACATGGCCTAGAGAAATTTTAATTTTTTTTTTCTTCTGGATGGAATCCAGTTAAGGACCCAAGCATGGGGCTGGCAGACCCAACACGATGCCTACCAGGGACCTGTGCCCTGCTGGAGCACCAGCTGGAGGCCAAGCCAGCTATCCTGTATCTTTGAAAATGGCAATCAATCAGTACATACATTTAGGCAACTGAATCCCACTGTATAAATGCACAAGAAGCACTTGGATAGGACAAAAAGATTCAAAAGGGCCAACTGGTATTTTCTGTCTCCACCAGCCAGATAACGTTGCACATACTCTCCAAGGTCAAAACTGGAAGCTACCCCTTATGGAAGGTGAGCTAATGAAAATACTTAGAACCATGACAATTCTGAAAGGAAAATGTGTTCTGTCTTCTGCAGTACAGACACAAATGTTAACAGTGACAACTTCAGTGTCTCAGCTGAATTTCATTTGTGACTTTTTTCTGTTCAGATAATGGACAAAGTCTTTGACCTCACAAAAGAGACCACTTTTCATAAGGTACTGGAATCCTAGCTAGAACCATCTGCTAAATGACTAAATTCTGTAACTTACGACATGTAAGCAAAATAAAACTAAACTGCTGAAATAGATTGGATGATGGGATAGCGCCGACTGCAATGTATTTGCACATTTACTTAAAAATGCTCTTAAAACACGCTCCACGAAGGAGCATTTTTCTCTCTCAAAGGATTTCCAGACAGTGGCATCACAGCCTTCTGTCTGCATCCTGAGTATTCAAAGGGAAACCATTCCTCAATCTTCTAAGAACAGTTCAAAACCCCATGTGTACACAAAAAAAAATCACAATTGGAAAACTTGAATGCTGTCTGCCTGGCAGGAAGGAAGCCATTTTCAATAACTAAAAGCAACATTTACAATAGCAGTCTAAAGGCTAATATGGAACTCACATGTAGATGTCAAAACAAGTTAGGGCCATACAATTCTGCAGGGCAAAACATGCAAATGCATTCCATCAGCCTTGCAAAATATGTCAACATCCCAGGGAACCCAAATGACAAACATCTTGTAGTCCCTGAAAGAGCTCCACAGTGTGTAAACATGAGGCAATCAAATGAAGTAGCTGGAATCTCAGGCATTTCTTCAGCTTTATTCACATGTAAATTATTAACTAAGGATTTGGGTGCTTTCAAGTTACTCATTTCAAGCCTAAATCAGTCAAAAGCACTTTGAAAAGAACTCAACTTGCTTTAAATTTCTTAGTTGCCTTCCTTACAGCATACTAACATGTTGATCATATGGAAGCTAACGCCGGCTTCACACACAGCTGCAAAAGCGGTTTGTGTTTGCTAAGTGAAACAGCGCAAAGGTGGCTCTTCAGCAAGCAATCCCCTTTGGCCATAGCGGCGGGGTAAGCAAGCAGAGGACACTCTCTGGTACACGTCTGTAGCATCTGTGGCAGAGAACCCACACGGCTGTCTGTCTCTAGGTAATTTCTTTCAAGAACCAAGCTCTAAGCAATTCCTTCCAGCCCTGTTTGTCTGTAGGCTGCTGTCTTCTGGCTGATAGAGGAAGGCGGCTCCAACCAGAAACCAACGCTCACGCAGCTGGCATGGAGAGCCCGAGAGGCATCCCCGTGGGACGCAGAGCGACGCTGGCTGGCTCTGAATGGACAGTACGTGGTGCTGGCACAGCACAGGGGGCCAGAGCAAGGTTAATAAATACATTACCGAGCGTGAGATAAATACATGCAGCCGCTAAGCTGCTTAGGTCGATAATCAGCACTCACTGCAGACACTGAGGTTGCAGTAAGGTTGGACAGTCCCATTAAAGGAAGAAAAGCAATCTGAGCGTACAGGACATTTAGCATGTATTAGTGGTTTACAACAGATCCTGCTTAGTGCATTTCATTGACACACAAAAAGAGTGCTTTCATGCACACATTTACTTTTGGAATATTTTCATAACAAAGGTGCTTTTTCAGCTCTGGTTCAGTCAGATCAGGGACCAGCTTGCCCTGGAGTGGCTGACACAGGTATCTAGTGCAATTTGAGATGCCCTGGACTACTCAAGCCATCTGCACAGGCCTGGTAGATAAGAGAGAGGACCCAAGGAGACCTGCAGCCTCTGATAAAGCAGCTGGAAGGCTACTTGACAGCACTTAAAACTAAAGAAGTACCTTTAGGCAATTGAATCGTGAAAGGGTGGGACTTGAGATACAGTCAGACTTGTCAATACAGTCAGTGGGGGCCAGTGGGCAATTCAGCTCACACTGAAGCTAGCAGCATCTCAGCTGAACCACCCTCCAGTCCCCACGGAGCCAGCATACAGGGCTCATGCTGACAAGGGGGCTGATGATAAGGGACTGACTCAGATGCCCCCACTGAGGCATGTTGTGCCATCTGAGGTATCCCATCAGCTCCCACTGCAGGAAGGCGCAGGTCTGTGTTACACCTACCAGCCTCACGGAGGTGTCTCAGCTGCCACAGGGCATGCAGATAGCACCATGCATCTCCATACCGGCAAGTGAGCTGACCCCTGGATCTTTAGTCACTCTAACAGAAGCTTTGACCATACACGGGACACCTACAAAGAGCTAAATTTAGGTGCCGATCTTAAACTAAATGCTGCCCAAATGCAAGTAGTAGCCTTATAGCTGCTTTAACATGTGCCCAGTTATCTCTGGCACCCAACAGCGTTTCAGCTGTGCCTTGCTGCCACGGTCACAGGACGCTCTGCATGGTTGGTGCCGTGCCATGATGCTGGCTCTGCTGCAGCCAGGATTCCCTCTGCTTCCTGCCGATTGGCACATCGCTGGATTCACTCAGTACCCTGGCAGTGTAAACAGCTGGATTATAGGACTGACACCCATCCTGGTAGCCAAAGGAAATCCAAATTCACCAGCCATCCCACAGCCCAATGTAAGGCCTAAATAAAAAAAAACCCGTGATATAGGCACCACAGATGGTTTTTTCCCAAAGAATTTTTGTTTTTATTCTGTGGGGTTTTAACGTAAACTATATGAACTGTCCTGGGAACAGGGACTTGGGCTAATGTGCTTAAGGCAAGACTAACAACCAGGCTACAGTTTCAGGCTCATTTTGGTCTGCACATCCTCCAGTCTCATAGTCTTGAATTTTTGGATATGCTGTGGTCCATCTGTAATAAAAAAAATTATCTGCTAGGTCTGCTAGGGTAGTACAAGTATTTTCCTGGGAGTGGGTTTGACTCTAAGCAAGCTAAGGAGGACCAAAACCCAGTTTTTCCACTTCTATGGTAATTAGCCAAATCCATAGGCTATCACATAAAAGGCAGTTACCAGCTTAGGGTTTGGTTCTTTTTTTTTAATCAATGCAGCAATGGTTCTGTGTTAAATGCTGAATTCAGCCCAGTTGGTCTAACAGTCTCCATCACATCAGCTCTAGGATCCAGGATGCACCAGAGCTCCTGCCGTGGAGACCCCTGTTGGACTGGACAAAGCTGGGTGGCAGCACTGGTGTGGCGAGGCCAGCTGCTCAGCTGGCCAGCCCTGGGCTCGCGCAGCAGGCAGAACACAAAGTGCCTCCAAAACATTTGGGTCCAGCAAAATCAGGTGCCAGTCAGTGACTGTGTCCACTTTTTCATTGATGGTTTGGATTAAGTGCTCAAAAACTTCTCAACTTCTCCTTCAGGTGCCTGTGTCTTTCTTTGGATCAGGGTCTCATTTTATCTAAATCAAAACTGTTGCAGACTCAGAATAGGGCATGGATCAGGGGAATATAAATCTCTAGCTACTCTAGAGTGTCAGTGTAAATCAACACAGCCATAACACCCCTTAATTCATGGGATTCAAAAATCATGATGATCCATCATGAATCCACAGTCTCTGGTTTTGGACTGACATGAAGGGAGACACCACAACTCCGGCTGAACCTTTAAAAGTACTGTGTGTGCACCTTAAAATTAACTTCACCCTCACTACTGAAGATAACTCTGTAAATTCAAACTGGAAGAAGAGCTAAATGTTTTCAAATATGAAAACAGTAACTGCAAATTTGTTATAGCAACAAATCAGAGCTAGGAACTTTATCTTTCCCCTTTGTAGTTTGACACTGCATTAGTACATTGTACAGAACATCTTGTATGAAGAGAGCTAAGAAAAATATTAAAAACAGTGAGCTAAGAAAGCAGTTTTGTAGCAGTTTGCCTTCTTTGATTTTATGAACTTAAACACACAAAATTGTATCAGTGTTGGTTTCTTCTAGGGTTACTGAGTAAATGATTACAACTTGTTTTTTCTGACTATGGGTATTGAAATGTGTTTGTAGTCATTTGCAAAACAGATGGTGAATACACAACTTTTTTTTTCAGGGGGTTAGGGAGGAAAAGGCACATTTGGGCTTGTTAGAAGTTCATCTGACTAGGGATCTTAAAAACAAAGGAAAGCATAAGATAAAGTAAATCTTATGGTTGAACTGTTTTCCTTACATTCCAAATCAGGGAGAATGACGTGAAGAAAGAAGACACTTTTTAGTCAGATAAAAACAAAACAAAACAATTTTGTCTGCCACGGTTCAGTGCATCATCACAGTAGAGACAGACATCTAGTAAAAAAAGAATGAGGAACTCTTAAAAAAAGTTTTCCAAGCTTCTGAGAGACAAAGGAGTTTGTAAATTAATTAATTCAAGACTTTTTAAAAGATGAACAGTTGCCTCTAGTATGTAGGAAAACACTGTAAAGTATCTACAGTAGTACATTATATATGTGGGGGGAGAGAGAGCACGCACGTACGATCCCAAATAGGTCTGCATGATGAGTGCAAGTTTTCTTAAGTCAGGGGGCTTAAATGGGAATGGCAGCCTCCCTCCAAAAGTGTGGAAGTGTATCTTAAATAGACTTTGAGACTTCAGCTTGGAAAGAGATGGCTGAAGAGGCGTGTTGTAGGGGTCTGCAGACTCCTGAGTGGCACAGACAAATGAACAGGGGATGACTATTCAGTATTTGTCAAGATACAAGAAAGAGGCTGTAACCAATGAAGGTATTGCATAAAAGGTATCAAACAAAAGAGCATTTTTCCCAGAGCCCACGACTGAATTCACTGCCCCCTGATGTTGTGGAAACAACAGTATAAATGAGTTCAAAAAGCAATTAGAAGAATAAATAGAAGAAAACTCCGCCACGGTCTATTAAACACAAAGATGTGGCTACAGGCTCTGGTTCAGAAAGAAATACCCACCTATTGCCAAAAACTGGGAACAGACGCTGAGGAAAACATTACTGTATGTTTACCCACTTAAAATAATCTTCCTCTAAGCATCTGCTGCAGGCTCTGTCTAGCTAAGTAAGCTTTTGGGCTAATACAGTACCACTGGTTTTCTATTTTGGTTGAATTCTTCTTTCCCAGGCTATTTCCAACTAAAGCAATGCAAAACCATGTCCAATAATAAACCTGGGGGGAGGACTATCAATAAATATTGTCCAATATGTTTAAAGACGGAGATGAAAGACTGATGGCACGAAAAAGAAGCCAGGGTACCACCACTGAAGCACAGAGAGAAAGCAGCAAAAACGTAAGTTAGAAGGAGCACTGTTGTAATACAGCACTTAGAGAAGCTGAGGATTTCAGTGGAACAGAAAGAGCTTTACTATTCACTGGCTGAAAGAGGCTTGGAACTATAAGCAATGATACCTTGTCTGGTCATTTATTCCTCTGGAGTTCAGTGTTATAGCAGATATTAACTGAATTATAACTATAATGGGATTATACCAAAGAAATGCCAGCATGCATGATCAGACTCTGAAGACACACCAGCTGGGCCAAAAAATGTTATGAGTATTTTCAGAACTCAGAAATTGCACACAGCAAAAATAAAAATAGTTTTCTCCTCTGTCATCTCCATCCATTCTTTGTCCCTCTCTGTCTCTCACTTGCAATTTTACAGGATTGCCGTTATGAAAATAACTTTAAAGGAACTTTGAAGGAACATCCTGTGAAAGTTACTCCTTTGGGGGAGTCCAATGCTGGTGCAAAAATATATGAATCAGGCAAATTCTGATGTTTAGTTAAGCTCGTCTCTGGAACAAATGTAGGGAAGTCAAGAGTTTCTCCTCACCCCACCCATTTTCCCTGCTGGTATCTCAAACCCAAACTATGGCTGCCCTTCTCCTTACCATGAAGACTACATCATGAGACTACGCTGCTTACCACTGACTGTGTTCCTCGGGTGGAAGACGTTGTAACAGGCGTTATAGTGATAGTACTTGTCACCTTGCTTGCTGCAGGTCGTGAGGACAGGTTGTTCCGGGGTGATCGAAGGACAGTACCGGTCACAACTTCCTTCTCTGCTGCTATGTTCACCGGTCTGACTGTTATCACTGGACTCACACCATCAGGCACAGCACTGGGAGAGCGTTTAAACTGGGAACCTAAGTGGATGTGGATTTTGTTGTCTTCTGTCGTAATAATGTTGGCGTTGGCATTGTACTTGCGGATTGGAGTTGGGACGGTTTGTTTTTCTGGTGTTACTTTAAAGACAGCCCTTCCCATGGTCATGTCTTGTGATTGCGGAGAGACAGAGATCTCTGCCGGTGCTGCAGATGTTGATACTGTCATAATCTGAATCGGTGATGCAGGTCTGTCGGCAAAGGGTGCTCTTCCTCCCTCTGGGGACTTTTCCCTGGAGAATGTTGTTATAGTGACTGGAGACATAGAACGATCTGTGCCCATGGCACTTTCACCGCCTTTCCCTTTTTGGGGCATAACATTTGGAGAGGGAATGATGGTTATTCGTGGCTTCTGATTTCCCAAAGTAGGAATGACAGTGGTACTTGAAAAAAATTCCTCTGAGGTTGGACTGGTTATCTCCAAAGTAGCTGTGCTGTTCTCATGGTCTGGTGTCACACGAATATGAAGAGGTTGCCCCTGCTTTGGTGAAAGGACAACCTCCCCAGGATGCGCTGGACTACTGTGGGTTCGGGCTCCTTTATCAGGAGTTGCCTGAGCCCCAGTTTCCCTCTTTCTCATCCATGGTATCCAAGATTTCCTCATGGCAAGTTCATTCGCTGCAGGAGGATATCTCTCGAGCACTGAAGAACGCTCCATGGGTTTTTTCAGACCTACCTGTCGCAGATTGCTCATGATGTGATTCTCCTCCTGGAAGGACTTCCTTATAAACACTGCTGGAGTTTCTTCTTCGGCTGCTTCACTACTTACAGCATCCGTTTGCACACCGGTGGACGTCACGGGAACATCAACCATTCTTCGTCCATTTATGCTGGGCCTCAGAGCACGGCTGTAACGCTTTGAAAGCTCCAGCTCTCTTGTTAGGTTCAGAACTTCCTGCCCCATGCTCTTGTTTTTGTTTTCTTCTTCCATAAACCTTTGCTGCAGAACTGAATAATCGACTTGGAGCTGAGAAAGCTGGTCTTCTTTGTTCATCAGCTCATGGATTTTTTCCTTAAGAGCTTGAACTTCTGCTTTCAAATCTCTGCTTTTGGCCTCTTCCAGACGAAACCTGTGCCTCAGCTCTGCCTCCTGGCTCACTGCTTCACCTTTCTCTATTGCTTTGGTTTTGGCAATCTGGAGTTTCATCTCCTCCAGCTGTTGAGAAAGAGAGTTAGCTTTATCCTGCTCAGTCCTAAATTTCTGCTCTAGCTGGTCATATTCATCTTCTGTCTTCATCAAATCTCCTTCAACCACTTCCAATTGTTTGAGACGTTTTTTCAGTCTTTCAATTTCAACAGTAAGTTCTTTAATCTTGTTGTCCTCATGACAACCATGCTCTGGTCCTTTCCTGCTTCGACCTCTTGTAATTTCTCTTTCTACTTCCTCCATACCATCAATTCTTTTCTTCAACAAATCAACTCTACAGCTTAGTTCAGAGGATTTTTCTTCTTCGCTTCTCAGTTTGCCAATTAACTCATCCCTTTCCTTTGTCAAACTAGACACTTTTTCCTCCATTTCAGATTTCAGTTTCAAAAATTTCTTACTTTCTTCTATCAGTTTCTCTGTTACATCCATAACTTTCCCTTGTTCAACTTTAAAATTCTTGTTTAGACCCTCAACCTTTTTTTCCTCCTGTTTTATTTTTTCCATCATATTTTTTCGTTCATCAACCAACATTACAGTAAATGACTTCAGCTTTGTAAGGTCATCTTTTAAGCTTATTTCAGCCTTTTCCAACTTGCTTTCTGATGCCTCAAGGTCTTTCACTCGAGTCTTCACCACTTCCAACTCATTTATCAAATCCTTAGTCAAATTCTTTTCTTTCTCCAAGTTTAAGTGTAGCTGGGTGCATTCAGACTTACTTTTACTGAAAGCCTCTTCCAGCTTCTCTAGTTCTGACATTCTTTTCTGCAATTTTTCCACTTCAAGTTTCAACTCTTTGCTATGGTGCTCTTCCTCTTGCAGTTTATTTTTCAGCTCTTTACACTGGGATTCAGTTTTTGTGATTTCTTCATCTTTCCCCTCCATTTCAAGCACACGCTTGCGGAGATTTTCCACTTCTGCCATTAAGCTAGAGTTCCCACATTCCCCTTTCGCTATTTTATCTCTTAGTTCTTGAAGTTCCTCCTCAGCTTTTTGAAGATTTTTGTTAGTTTCTTCTAGCTCCTCTATTCTGCGAGTCAACCCCACTAGCTTAAGCCTTAGCTGCCTATTATGTGACTCTTGATTAGCCAGTTTAGCAGTCATCTCCTCATGTTCTTGAGAAAACGATGATGTTTTGCGTTCAAGTTCTGCCTCTAACTTCATCAGTTTTTGTCCATCTTCTTTTGTTTTTGCACTAATAATTTTAAGCTTTTCTTCTTCTTCCTTTAGTTTTTGGTTTAAGTCCTGTATTTTCTGGCTTTGTTGACTAAGTTGTTCAATATGCATTTGTCTTTCATCCACCAGCATGAGTGCAAATGATTTGAGCTTGACTAGTTCTTCTCTTAGTTTATTGAGTCGCTTTGTATGTTCTTTCTCCTTCCGGGCTTGATAGATCTTCTCCTGCTCAAGAAGTTTCTTCAACCTGAAACAAGAGATAGTTAGAAATTAGAAGAGATGAATTAAACTAATATATATATATGTGTGTGTGTGTGTGTGTGTGTATCTCTACTTTTTAAATCACCTTAATTTTATCAATTTTTTTCATTAATAATCTAGGTAGTCTTTCAAGAAATAACTACCTACTACCGTTATATTCCCAAACCAAATATTTTCAGTTACAAAAGCTAACTTAAAATTACATAAAATCATCTAGAAATCTGAAAAGCAGTGAAATTTTATACATGTGTAGATAACAAATACATCAGGTTTTGATTCCTTTACATTTATTTCTCTGTTAGGATGATGTTGGTAAACTATATAATATCCCAACAGGACAGGTATATCTACTCACCAACCATTTATACCATTTATAAGGTGGATTCCTCATTATGTTGTGCATACATAAAAATGTGTAAAATAAGATTGAAAATGAAAACTAATTGCTCTATGCAGCCATACACAAATGGGTCAATCCTCATTATAAATAAACCAGCAGGACAGAAGATTACATTAGCATACAACTGATAACCATCTGGGCATCACAGGCATAAGAAATTAGCAGGAAGATAAATTTGCCAGCACAGTGACTATTACGTTAAAAAGTTTCCTCTTCCAGGCGCATTTCCATTTACAATAGTAGATTTTGTGGACTGCAAGGGTCAGACCAGTCAAACCTTTGGCTACAGCTTACCTCACCTGGAAAATGCTCTTCTTTATATAGTCTGTAAAGCTGTGTTTTCAGACAACATAAAAACTAGTGCGATACACAAATTAGGTGTATCCTCACAAAGATAATAAAGACCTACATTTTCCAGCCTTACCCATGCAATGTTTCAATGGATAAATTATTAGTAATGTAAGTATTTTATATCTGTGATTTATATTCAGGGTACACTGACATCAGCACAGGAAGTGCCTGCACATACTATAAGCACAGATTTAGGAGGATGGTGATCCTCAACTGACAAAGAGGTACAGATAGCACAGGGATATATCATCTCCTACAATGTAAGAGCCTTATTGTGAAAGAGCAGTACGACTTAGAAAAGAAGACACCGGTATGCATGCTGAATTTACCGTGAAATGACCTGTTTTCAAACCACTTCCAAAGTACCTGCAACTCCCATATCCCCCATCAAGACACGTGAGATGATTCAAATCCACTTGCTTTGCTTACCCTATGTCTGAAGCTTTTCAACTTGTTTGTAACTGAGACACGCAGTGAAGTGGTAATAGCAGAGCAACGTACCACCTGTTAACTAACTTCCAATAACTGCAACATCCGTATCTTAGCAAAGATGGACTTCTGTCAGTATGGTTATCTTAAATGCTGGACTGTAGATGGTAGCGGGTAAAGCACAGATATACATCCCTCTCTGCTGCCCCAGCAATGAAGCGGTGCAGAGAGCTCTGGGGCACAATGTCATACACAAAGGATGTCTCCCAGAGCCCTCACCTGAACTCTAAACTCATAACAACAACCATATTAACTTGGTCCTCTGGCAACTGTTAATGTTTCACTCCTCGTTCCTCAGGGACCTGAACGAACAGGAACTGGAAAGAAAAGCTATAAGAAAAAAGAAGGAAGTCAGAAAGCAGAACACAGGATGCAGTAGGTAGGGAAGGAGAAGGCTGAAGAATACATTTGAAAACAAGAGTCGGATAGGATGTGGGAGTAAAAGAATAGAAGGAACCAGCAGGAGAGAGAAAAACAAACAAACCTTACAGCCAACCTTGCTGGGTCACAGATTATTCTCAAAAAAATCTCTTTAGTTTTGGCAGCTCTTTGGAAAGGACTGAAAAGGCATGCTGGTGGATGCCTCATTATGGGTCAAGTTAGAATGTCAAAAGGTAAAAAAAGACCAGCTGCCACTCACAAAGCATGCACTTTTCACACTGAAGAAGGAACTTTATTAGCATGCAGTATATTCCCTGGCTGCTCTATCACAATGCTTTATGCAAAAGTTTCTGCCAAGAACTCTCCCTCATCTCCCCCAGGCTACATTTTTAACGAAACAGTATGTGTCCTTCCACAAAATATTATTTGCCGTGACAGAACAGTGTGCCCTAACCTGGTTGTGCTCTAAACAACCCATCTCCCAAAGTCATGAACGCACATACAGGAATATGAGATCTTAAAAACAGAGAATGATTCCAGCTGCCCTCATCCCACAGGAAAATTTTAAGGTTACCCCTACAAATTCAAAAAACAGAAGACAGCATTTTGTTTTCTTTTTAACAGTCTTGGCACTTGACAGCCTATCTAGATCTGATCAGAAGACTTCTTATGAATTTTAATTCCTAGGCTGTTCATAAAGGGCACCTGTGATTTTCACCCAGCAGTTGCTAAACACGGTACACGTCAGCCAGGCTGCTAAGCAGAGTGCAAAACAATTCACTGGCCCCACCATTAACTGAAAGTCTACTGGGGAATACTGCTAAGAAAGCTCCTCGCTGAAAAACCAAACAAATACCTGTTCAACTAAGACAAAGAATGCCAGGGATGAGACAGAGCAGCAGGAGAAGAAAGCACATTAACACTGTCACTGCCTTCCTCTACCTAGCAGGAGAGTTAGCAGTGAGGAATAATTGGCCTGACCCCTCTGGGAATAGCAAAAATAAAGCACTGTAACTGTTGATACCACCAGGTGAATTTGCTAACATGTGTGTTGAACAAGGCAGGAAGCACCGTGCAGCATTTTATCCTGCTTCAGCTTTTACTCAGTGAAACTAGACTGTGTAAGATTTGACAAGTGAACTTTCACAGAAGATACTTGACAATACTTCTGTTTTCCCTGTCCAGGGAAACTGCTTCTAAAATCTGGTTCTGTGAGGGATGGATGGGAAAGCAGCATCCAAATCTGTGCAGTTGCCAAAGCAATAACCAAAATATATACCTTTTTAGTGTTACTTCTAAAATAAAGCTGAGTTTAAGCTTGCTCTTGCTTTTCTGTCATCT